CGGTGGTTTCCGCTTGTGGGCATGTTCTTAGCTGCTGCAGCAAGCAAGTTCATGGGAATGGGTATGGGGGCAAACCAAGCTCCGACAAGAAGCATTTTCAAAGATAGAAGGTTTTTGTTCACTTCAGCTTGCTCAAAGACAGCCAAGCAGAAAGTTAAGAGCTTTGCCATGAACGGGTTGGCTTTGCAGTATTGTTCGTCATGTATATTGAAAAACGGTGAAGGTGAACGTTCTTCAATTTGAACTTTGTTCACAGCTTCAAAGAGCGCAGATGGCGGGATTGCCAATTCGGAGAGCAATGATCCTGTCAGGCAAAGGCCATAACTCACACGTCCAAGTTTCTCATCAAACTTCTTGAGGATCTCTACCTCCTCAGTTGGGTAATCTTTCTTTCTTCTTCCTCTCAACAAAAGCATTGCATCAACCAGAGGCAATGGAGGGAGTTGGATCATATCAAAGTTCATGACTTTGGGAAGTCTAGTCGTGATCAAGACATGTGTGCCTCCAGTGTTCCTAGGAATCAGATCATGTAGATCTTTTCCTTCCCACCAATCTTTCTCTATCTCGAGGTTATCAATGATCAACAAGTACGGCATATCACGGAACAACTCCCGCCTTATCCTCTTGAAAGCCTCGAACTCTTGTTCATCAAAATTTCGAAGCTTGCCTCTCTTCTTTTCAGCATCAGCGCTCACATCCAGCCCCAAATTGAGTGATAGATTCAACAGGTTCTGCCTGAAGTGCCGAGCTTCCCCACCGACCCATAAAACCATCTTGTACCTCCAGGAATACCGGTAAGCGAATTCAACAGCTAATTCCGTCTTTCCGATCCCAGGAACTCCATTTAAGCAGATGACACTTGATCTAACCGCTCCCTTGCAATTGTTGTTTCTGTATTTCTTACTCTTCAACAGTCTTTTCAGTGAGTTTCTTCCCACGGTGTTAGAGTTTGGATCGCTCCAGGCCTCACTTGTTGGTTCTGAACATTTCCCGAGCTCCAAGCTGATATACTTCCCAGCCCTGGTGGAAACATCATCGCTTTCTTCATCTTCAAGTCCTTCAGATTGCCCGCTTGTTTCTCCTTTATTGCTCGTTGTTGTAGAGTCAAGGTACTCCCCGTTTCCAAAGAAAGCCATCTCAATTTCCATGATTTCCTTCTCTCTGCCAAGAAAACATCTATTTCTAGGGAAGGGAAGACCGTCAAATCCTTCGACGGCCTGTTTCTCAGCCACACTCTTT